AGACAGAGAGAGATCGGAAAATTGAGAATGATGTCTGTCACACAGGCTCATGTACGTGTAGCTGATATTTCAGAAAACAATGAAAATTAATGAAAATGTCTGCTACGCCTTGGTAAGCAATTTAATACTAACTGTTGATGTCAAGCACCAAGTCCACACAGACATTTAGTATTTATACCGGGGAGAAACAAATAACAAAATACCCTGTCATCCGGTACGCTCAAGTCTGCAGTGAACTCTCTGCTCACGGATACCATCCATCACTTATCACCACATATTGTGGTACCTTCTTCACCGAAACATTGGCTTTCTTTGAGCTTTGTTCACAAAGCGGCTGCACGGTTTTGAAAGGTTGTCAGTGTTCGACAATTAAATTTTGTCAGTTTTGAAGTGTAACCAATTTAGTCAGCCTCGAGGCTAACGCCGTCCCTTGACAACGACCCATGCTCCATCGGTATACTATTACTACTGATGTTTTTCTACCAGTAACCAATTAAACATGTTCTTACTTAAAATTGGAATAAAATATTGGTGATCAACATACTAGAACGTAAAATTAGAGATATGTTCGTATTGCAAAGACGATTTCGTCTTGAGACAAGCCTTATTCTTCGTATTGACAGGCCTCTGCCCACGTATCTACGTATTGACAGACCCCTATTTACGTGTTAACAGCTTCAAACTACATGGAAACAGACAGTATTATACACACAGTATTGACGTACCTGAATCTAAGAAGGCTTATTGACGATTTTAAAACTACCTTTTGATTGACTTCAATCTGCGTTTTGACAGACAGCAATATACTAAGAGGTCTCGATATACGAAAGGCAATGTATTGAAGAAAGTTACGTCGATTTTCAAACGGATTGTGTGAAATAGTGGGATATATTTTATATTTACTTTCTTAATCAGGTCGTAGGCTATTGCAACCCTTATAACAAATTAGACCAGTACTGATTTTACTCCGCATTGCTATCGTTGTGGACGTTGGGTATGTTACTTCAGCGTTCATATAATTACACCATTTTTGATTCACCTAGCGTTACAATTATTGTCGATGTTTCGGCGTTGTTATCAATGCCGACGTTGCTGTTTTCCTCCACCCTATCATTGTGCTGTTTCGGTACTTTATCATCGGTGTGGGTCTCTGTAATAGTGTTGCTGTTGTCGTCGTCCATTGTCCCTTCACTCTAGCGTCATTGGAACTTGCCTTTGAATGCGAAATCTTGCCAACGAATAGCATTATCAGTAGAAAATGCACGATTGCGGTTTACGGACGTGTAGCGCGTTATACGATATCATAATCGCTCGTGTTCCATGGTATTCAGTAACGTGCTACAATAGTGCGCTTATGAAATAGAACTAATTGATGATTATCATCGCGTATTTGGAGTATAGAATCAATTATTGAAACTCATTCCAGGGATGTAATAGGCCTAACTACCGATCACTGTATATAAATGCCCTGTTTTATTGTGTTAGTGGGTGAAATAATGAGAGTAGTGGCATTATGTCTGACAATTACTGGCAATCTCGCTTTGTTCTATAGTGGCCTCGATTCGTACTCGTGTAGATACCTTGTCAGGACAAACCACTTTTCCGTTGGATTCGTAACACTGTCACTCCGGATATGACGTCAATACATTAAGGTAAAATATCCCTATGATTGGCTACTTCCGGTGTAAGGTATTTTACATATTCCTATATCTAAACGAATCTTTATCTTCATACCACTAGGTTCGATATAGCGCTCTGGTATGATATAAGTAATTTCAAAAGTATTTTAAGTTCCAACATTGCACGCAAATTCAAATTCTAATACATCTTCATCATTTTATTTGTAAAAAAATAAATAAACATGAGTAATTTTTCAATAATTAGAAACAATTACTAATACCCTTTCATAATATGTATTAATCAGTCTTGTTTGCCATCATGATTAGTGCAAAGTATAAAGAACGGAACCAGAAAACCTTAGCAAACTCGCTGGGTCGTTCAAATGATCGCATACCTTCCATGTCCGATCGTGGGATCGAACCCTGGTCGATTCAGTAAAAGGCAAGAACACTAACCACTGCGCCACGCGTCCACTTATTTGTTTCTTATTGAACTAACTCACTAAGACAAGTTCCTGAATTATTTTTGCTATTTTAAAGCATCGGTACATGTAACGTGTTTTTGTGTTTGTTGTTTTGTTCGCGTTGCTAGGTCCTTGTTGCTAGGTCCTTACAACAGCTAAGGTCATGTGAAGACGAGTGCCTAGGGACACACCAGCAAAACGAGAAGGCAGAAGGGAAAAACCATTCAGGTCCTTTTCTGTATTCTAGTATTTAATTTTGACAGTTTGTTTACATATGACTGATGAACTTCGTGGAATGTTTAACGTCTTAATAATAGCGGAATATTGCCGAAAATCGATAATTAGTTGGTTATATTTTATAGCAAGTACAGTAAATCCTATAACTCGTTTTATTTCTAAAAACAACACTCTCTGTGTACTGTCCTCAGCCTACAGTACAGCTTGTAACCTAAATCGTTTTCCCCTGTGTACAGTCCTCAGCCTACAGTACAACTTGTAACCTAACTCGTTTTCCCCTGGGTACAGTCCTCAGCCTACAGGACAACTTGTAACCTAAATCGTTTTCCCCTGGGCACAGTTCTCAGCCTACAGTACAGCTTGTAACTTAAATCATTTTCCCCTTGGTACAGTCCTCAGCCTACAGTACAGCTTGTAACCTAAATCGTTTTCCCCTGGGTACAGTCCTCAGCCTACAGGACAACTTGTAACCTAAATCGTTTTCCCCTGGGTATAGTCCTCAGCCTACAGTACAGCTTGTAACCTAAATCGTTCTCCCCTGGGTACAGTCCTCAGCCTACAGTACAACCTGTAACCTAAATCGTTTTCCCCTGTGTACAGTCCTGAGTCTACAGTACAACTTGTAACCTAAATCGTTTTCCCCTGTGTACAGTCCTCGGCCTACAGTACAACTTGTAACCTAAATCATTTTCCCCTGGATACAGTCCTCAGTCGATACAGTACAACTTGTAACCTAAATCGTTTGGTGCATTTGATGAGCAGTGGGATCCCCCTTTTGGGACGAAACATCGGTTGTAAACAAATTGGTGGAGATGACTTTTCTCACGTTAGAGTAGGCTTGCGGCTTTTTGTGGCCGTGTATTGTTGAACTGTATGGCAGTAATTGAACCAGTTTACCAATCTGGTCAGAAATGCTTGTCATGTTGTCAGAATACCGGTAAATAGCGGAAAATCAATTGTCAACCGATAAAAATAGCACTAGGATTTACGCTAGTTCAGTATAAGAGTTCTTGTGGCCCGTCACACCCACGTAAACCTTCGCTAGCTCGTCTTTCCACAGTCCTGGGATATCTCGCCCGTCCATTGCCGTACGCGGAGCCCTTTTCATTATTGATGGTTGTAAACATTTTCAAATTAAGATTAATACATTTTTTTCACACGATCTAGTCGCTTTCTTTCACTGTCTGTGTTACTGTTTAATTGTTATTCTTATCTTTTATAAATATATTATTCTGTTTACGTTTCCTCACTGGTGTTTTTCAAGCTTAACAACGTTGTAACGTTGTGGCGTATACTCGTTCGATATCTACTCTTAGTTTGACATTAGATGTTTTTTTTTCAATTCGCTGCTTTGGCATTTCCTACGGATTTTATTGTCGATTCTGTAAAGTATATAAAACCTGATTGAATCCTTTGATGTGTGCATTGCGGTGTCATAAATAAATGTTACCATCACAACAGATGAATGCAATTTTATACATAAGTCTGTTACATGCCAATGCTTTATTGACAACACCGAACATAGCAATCAACATGTTAATATCAGTTCGGGTTCGTATAAAGTCGGGTTAAAAGGACAATCGTCCAGACACGTGTCAGTCTAGTGATGTCAGGACATTAGTTCTGGGTGTAAAAGCAGATTTGTGTTTGTCTAGTAATGTGATGACATCAGTACAGGGTTTAACAGCAGATTTGTGTCAGTCTGGAGATGTCAAGAAACTCATTCTCGGTCTGATATTTGACTCGTGTCAGCCTGGTGATGCCAGAAAACTCATTCTAGGTCTAATATTTGTCTTGCGTCAGTCTGGTGATGTCAGGACACTCGTTCTGGGTCTGATGTCAGGACTCTCGTTCTGGGTCTGATATTTGACTCGTGTCATTCTGGAGATGTCAGGAAACTCGTTCTGGGTCTGATATTTGACACGTGCCAGTCTGGTGACGTCAGGGCATTAGTTTTGGGTCTGATATTTGACTTGTGCCAGTCTTGTGATATCAGGACACTCGCTCTGGGTATGATATGTGACTCGTGTCAGTCTGGTGATGTCAGAACACTCGTTCTGGGTCTGATGTCAGGACACTCGCTCTGGGTCTGATATTTGTCTTGTGTCAGTCTAATGATGTCAGGACACTCGCTCTGGGTCTGATATTTGTCTAGTGTCGGTCTGGTGATGTCAGGACACTCGCTTCTACTGGGTCTGATATTTGTCTTGTGTCAGTCTAACGATGTCAGGACACTCGTTCTGGGTCTGATGTCAGGACACTCGCTCTGGGTCTGATATTTGTCTTGTGTCAGTCTGGTGATGTCAGGACACTCGTTCTGGGTCAGGTGTCAGGACACTCGTTCTGGGTCATATATTTGTCTTGTGTCAGTCTTGTGATATCTTTTTTCCTCCATCAGATCGGTCATTGGATGCGCTACTACAACAACCGACAGTTAAAACCGTGATTTTTCAAATGTTTCTACAGTAAATTATATATTAATTGATAATTGTCATAGCAGGTGTGTCGTTCTTCGTTATCTTCTTATTGTAGAACAAGAAAATTGGTAATTTTGTTTACAAAGACTGTTACGGAACCCAACCACAGACTGAGATTCTGAATCTGATTATGTGATGTCTATGCATGGTTCGATGATAAGTAAGGTCTTTAGTCCGGACACAATATACCTGTATCTGTCCCCATGGACGCTCAACATTACGGCCACGTACAGATGACCATAAGGTGCCTCTTACTAACGAAAGCATTAGACACTAATGATTGTAGATTGCTACTACAAAACGGAAATAGGAATTTCCCGGGTACTTAGACTTATTATCAGTTAGCTGTAGGTCTGACAACACCCAGAGGTGAGACATCAAACCTATAAACTGACCATAGCAATCCTACCATAATCACATTATATAACGTGATTCACTTACGTCGCTCACAACGCTAGAACTGTTAAACTTGTAAATAGTATATGTATGTTCAATCACAGTTGACGTACGACCTCTCTCGATCGATGAACCTTGGACTCAAGGTCGGATCTTTTTTGTTTTACCAAGCCACGTATCCATGTTATTAAATTATCCATATCAGAATTATTGGTAACATATTAATCAACTCTATACTATGAAGTCATAGTTGATGGGTATGATCTGTACTTTCCCCTGTTATCGGGACTGAAATATGACGTCTGCTAAACCGTCGTCAAGACAACGATTCCGACATTCGAACTGTTTCAATGGCGTCTGTTTTGTAAGGCAGACATTGATGGAATTAAAATTGCATTATATATTTCTCTAAACCTTATTAAAAAAAATCATGAATCCAGAAAACGCTCAATTGAGATAGTATTTGTTCTCATACCGTCTACTCCGCCGACTGTACTAGACCTGATACCGTCTACTCCGCCGACTGTACTAGACCTGATACCGCCTACTCCGCCGACTGTACTAGACCTGATACCGTCTCCTCCGCCGACTGTACTAGACCTGATACCGTCTTCTCCGCCGACTGTTCTAGCCCTGATACCGTCTACCCCGCCGACTGTACTAGACCTGATACCGTCTACTCCGCCGACTGTACTAGACCTGATACTGTCTACTCCGCCGACTGTTACAGACCTGATACCGTCTACTCTGTCGACTGTACTAGACCGGATACCGTCTACTCCGCCGACTGTTCTGGACCTGATACCGTCGAATCTGCCGACTGTTACAGACCTGATACCGTCTAATCATCCGACTGTTCTAGACCTGATACCGTCTACTCAGCCGACTGTACTAGACCTGATACTGTCTACTCCGCCGACTGTTACAGACCTGATACCGTCTTCTCTGTCGACTGTACTAGACCGGATACCGTCTACTCCCCCGACTGTTCTGGACCTGATACCGTCGAATCTGCCGACTGTTACAGCCCTGATACCGTCTACTCTGTCGACTGTACTAGACCGGATACCGTCTCCTCCGCCGACTGTTCTAGACCTTATACCGTCTAATCAGCCGACTGTTCTCTACCTGATACCGTCTAATCTGCCGACTTTTCTAGACCTGATACCGTCTACTCCGCCGACTGTTCTAGACCTGATACCGTCTACTCCGCCGACTGGACTAGACCTGATACCGTCTTCTCCGCCGACTGTTCTAGACCTGATACCGTCTACTCCGCCGACTGTTCTAGACCTGATACCGTCTACTCCGCCGACAGTTCTATTATTATTATTTCATTATTTCCTCCAAATTGAAGAGTTACAAAAATATACAGTGTAATCAAAATACAAATAAAGTAGTATTGCCGACTGTGTAAGTGTAGACCTGATACCCTCTACTTAGCCGACATTTCGATGTGTTGTCTTCTCCCCAGAACGAGGTTGTCTAGACGGTTAAGCAAGTGAGATGAACCAAATGCAGTAACTATGCAACGTTTTGGCGTATATTATCACTCCCTTGTTGGCGGCCAAATACTTCAGAAAGAACGTGACAATATCATAAACAAAACATGTCATTTCTTATATCCTATAGACTTGAAAACAATAGCTTTGCTTCGAACATCGAAACTTTGTAACGACGGTAGGTTCCACAATATGGAATTCTCGAGGAACAGTTGGATGTCGGTGTGAGAGACGTTCTAGACAAGCTAGACTATATTCTGCCCAATAATGTTCTGTTTTATTACATATAAAAAGATAGCGCTACTCTGTAGAGACTCTACCAGATATTGATTGTTTTCAAACGTCATGGCAGACACATCACTCAAATAAATAAAATGTCGGAAATAGTGCCATTTCTACCATGGTTTTGTCAACCAGACGACGTAGAGAAGTATCAATTTCAATTAAATCCTAAATTGGATCATTTTGTCAGAAAACACTATAAAATGAATTGTACCTTAATCCTATATATTACTATTTATTGTACAGTGTTCGTTTTTCTACTTAAGGATATATATAAGGTAAACTACTGTGAAATACGCCTCCTTTTAAGAAGAGTTCAACTTTAAACATTAAAAAAAAATCATAATTTTCAAATGTGTTTAATTTCGTTTTAAACTGAGCAAATTGTAACATAATAACGTTCCATATTCAAGCTAGAACAAACAATTATGTGTGTTCCTGTACAATGCAGTCACCATCTTATACTTGGAAACACCTAATGTAATAGGTGTACGGTTTAGCTGTTTCCTTTGTACCGCATCACCACTGTAAAACCCATACAATATATAAATGTACTTAAGTATAACATGTCAGTGGCTTTCCCGTTTCTGCCTTCTCACGTGCACGCGTTCTACGTAAAATAGGATTTATTACCCATCTGTCTGTCTTCTCCAACTCACCAATATCCGGTTGATCATCAGAGAGAAATTACACGATGGATATTTATATTGTATCTATGGTGTACTTGGTCAGGTTCACCGTATTTCACGGCTTCGGTATGATTGGATGTCAGCGATCATTACTTCGTGATCAAGGTTGTGCCAACGTTTTCTACAATCGTGACAACATACACTATGTCCCTGGCCATGGGTTGATACTACTACTGACTCACCGTTGTCTACACGTATAAACGAACTCTTGTGATAACGACAGTTATCCCCAATAACCATGAGTACTTCCTCTTATAAATGTAGGAATTCGATCCTGAATTACCTCCCATTAACATCCCGATTAACTCCCTGGATGTTATCGCATCCAAAAATAAACACGTCAATAGGAAACCAACAGCAAACAAACTATGTCTGAATGTCAATTCGTGATTTCGAGATTTATAAAACCGAAAACAAAAAATGACTATACATCTGTAGGAATTTTATTTGTTTAATCTACACTGTGTTTGTAGCCATTTAGATTGTTGTTGGTCAACTGTCATTATATTTCACAGTATGTGATCACTGACAACATCATTCATCTTTAGACAATGAGTCGTTCAACCTCGAGGACCCGGCGTGTGGTGCTGCGTCAGACTTCACTCAATCATGAGAATATCAATTAGTACAGGGCTATGGGCCCCATGTAGCTACGGTGTGAGCCTTGGAGTCAGAATGTGCTCTACTTCCTATCGATAATATTGTTAATAACAATTCATAATTGGGAATGTCTTTGAGCAAGTTCGATAATCAGTGTAACAATATTGATTATGAATTTACAGCGTCTAGGCGTTGGGGATAACGACGAGTTAATGATGTTGACAACCGGAAGTCTTCATATTGTGTTATCTAACAGCGTGGTCAAGTATTTAACACATCCGACATTTAAATAGGACAGAACCAGTTCAAGTTTCGGTTAACGTTCTGACGCTTGGCACCATTAGGTGTACATAACCTTTTGGTATGTCCTTCTTTGTACCAGGTGGCTGATGTACCAACACGGACGTTAAGTATCCGGTGTGTGTGGTGCCAACATGGACGTCAGTATCCGGTGTATGGTATTAACATGGAAGTCAGTATCCGGTGTGTGGTTTTAACATGGACGTCAGTATCCGGTGTGTGTGGTGCCAACATGGACGTCAGTATCCGGTCCGCGTGGTACTAACATGGACGTCAGTATCTGGTCCGTGTGGTACTAACATGGACATCAGTATCCGGTGTATGTGGTGCCAACATGGACGTCAGTATCCGGTCCGTGTAGTACTAACATGGACGTCAGTATCCGGTGTGTGTGGTGCCAACATGGACGTCAGTGTCCGGTCCGCGTGGTACTAACATGGACGTCAGTAACCGGTGTGTGTGGTGCCAACATGGACGTCAGTATCCGGTCCGTGTGGTACTAACATGGACGTCAGTATCCGATCGTATGGTACCAACATGGACGTCAGTTTCCAAAGGTTGATATATCAACATGGACGCCGGTATCCGGTCGTGTGGTACTAAAATAGACGTCAGCATCCGGTAGTGTGGTACCAACATGGACGTCAGTATCCGGTTTTGTGGTACCAACATGGACGCTAGTATCCGGTCGTGTGGTACTAAAATAGACGTCAATATCCGTTTCGTGCGGTACTAAACTAGACTCCAGCATCCAGTCGTGTGGTTCCAACATAGACGTTAGTATCTTGTCGTGTGCACGTGGTACTGACTTAGCTCTCAGTACTCTATGGTTTATATACCAACATGAATGTCAGTGGGATCGTGGTAATTTCATAAACAGAAATTTGTAGGGAAGAGCATACTAGTTACATTATAATGCTGATCCCGTGGTCAAATCTACAGCAGTACTCACCACTGTCACGATCTTTTCCGCGTAAGAAATAGTGCTAACATTGTTACGTATATAATTTGATTTCCCACCACCTGCACGATTTCTCACCCTGGTAAGCGTATTGTTAATTTTTGGACCATTGAGAAATAATCAACGTGTGTGCGTGTATTATGGTGGAATATATATGAGAATAAGAAAATCTTGGAAAATAAAGTTAACGGAGGCCACTTGCGGCATGGCAAGGTGTTGATTATTTTTCCAACAATTTCGAGTTATATATTCCTCCATTATACACAAAAATATGTTGATTATATCTATTCTACAAAGCTAATTATAATAAAAGACTGTGTCGTGCACGTGTCTACCTCCGTCTCCATAAGCCTGTGATAAGCATGATGACCCAGATAATCTAATTATTAAAACTATACTGCGCGCGCTTAGCTTATTTCACAACAAGCTGCGCGTTTCTATCATATACCTTGTATGCAATTGTGTTGTTTTGCATTTCACCTTAATTTATTTTGAAAGGATTTTTCATTTTCAGTCGTCGCCATTTGGTCGACAGACGATAAACAATAAAAAACTGACGTTATGCTTTATGCCAGATGTTTATTTCAATCAATCAAATCCACCAATATATCGGACATCACTTGTCAACACATGAAATCGGCATTTGAAAGATTTAAAAGCAATATTTCAAGTAACCTTTGCTATAAGTTTGATCGAACACTCTGATCGTGAGCTTGACAAGTTTTAAGTAGATATAGAGGTTAAATAGATTTTGTTCTGTTTTTCCGCTATCAAATCTTCATTCAAATACATATACAATTAAATGCAGTTACCATCATTCGACAAATGAAACCAGCCCTTTGACTCGCTTGTTTCCATGTACCAGTACATTTGCGGGTTTTTAATTTTGGAAGAGGTACAATGTACTGGTCTTTTGGAAAATAAAACACGCACGCGCATGGTCTATCATCTAATAATCCATGGATATTAACCGGAGAAAGGCTCGCAACATCGCAATGTGGGTATAATTGGCTGTATTAAATTGTGTTTCATTAAGTTTGTTGAATTGATAATGAACATTGAAACAAAAATTATAGAGGAGGAATTGTTTTGGACCGAACTGTGGCCGAACTTGCAACAAAATGTCAATCCGAATGTTTTAGTCCACATCTTGGAGTAACTTTACGGTATACTGGCTGTGATAAAGAGACGTAAGGTGAAGAGTACCATTAAATATACAAAATTATGCCCATTTCACACTCATGAACTATTCGTTTAATTTTTCTTTTAACAGAAATTACATCTCGCAACGGATATCATAAACTTAACCAATGTAGCTGTCCAAACATCATTAATGCTTAGAATCAAAATGAGAGAGAAATATATACTTTAGTAAGAGCAGTAAAACTAAGCCAGAAATAACTGTGTTTGTTGCTTAATCCTTCATATAAGGACGCATACTCCAAATCGAAAAACAGCTCTGCATTATCTCCGGTTGAGGAATAAAGGGAGAAAGAGCTTTCGCGCGAGAAATGTGCTGGGTTAAAAAACGCATCGCCCACGTCACACGGTGGGACCGGGTGATTTCTCAACAGGCGAGAGATCGGTTTTAGCATTAATTCTCACCCGGGTGAGAAATCGTGTCAGCTGAGATTTTTTGACGTAACAAATGTTTATTTTCGGTCCCTTGTTGTCTAGATATCCAACCAATTGAAACTTGATATGAAAATAGATAGTCGCCTTTTATCTACCTTTCTGTTCGGTGGTGACGCCTTCATAGCTGTTGAAAGGACTTTTAACCAAGAAAAAAAGCAAATCGACTATTATTTATAGATAAAACACAAAGCCTACAACCGATGTAACAGCAGGGCGGGCCAGGTCCGTCGCCCTTACACCGTCCTGCCATAGTGGTACTCAACAGATATACTTGCTTTGGCGACGGTTCCTTGGCACGTAGCTCGTGTAACATTGTGTTGATGTGGCGTCACGACCTGGATCATCAGTACCCAACTTTCTACTGGAAAACGACCATCACAGACGCTAGTCCGGGCCTCACCGGGAGACAAAGGCTTTTAAAACTACATGTTTTTCAATCATATCAAATATATAGGGTTACACAACGAGTGATTGTTGAATATGGTATTTATTTCACTCGAGTAAGTTAATTTTTAAAAGTTACAAAAGACACGAGCTTTAGCGAGTGTCTTTCTGTAACTTTTGAAAATTAACTAACGAGAGTGAAATAAATACCATACTCAATAACCACGAGTCGTGTGATCTGTTTCTACCACAACCACATGAACATACAAACGTGTTTGTTGACAAGGCTGACGTAGTGATATGACCCATATGTAAAAAGTCACTCATTAATATTAAAAAATGACTTCTTTTTTTTTTAATTATTGTCAAAATTAATGTTTCGGCAAGAACTTCGTGAAAAAATAAAATAGATAAATGACTTGAAATATTGAGAGTATCAGTATTGCATTAATTTATATAAATTAACCACGGACTATATGCGCGTTAGCATATCGTACGAAGTCTGCCTCCCGCCAAGTGATGAACCGTTGTAGACGAACTTATCGCTGTCAATATCCAAAACCATAGGCCTGACGGTTCTATGGTTGACGATTATAGTGATGAAAGTCCAGCCATAGTCAGACCGTCTAAATAGCGATAACGGGACGTTGGGAGAACGAAATATTTCCCGACACTGTGACAGATCTTGTTTTGGTTTCACGAACTGGACACGCGACTGTGGAAAACCACATTACATCTATACTACATTATTGTATTAAAACACAACAATAATTTCATGTTTAATTAACACACACATATAGCTTACTATTAATAAAAAATGGATTGTGTAGAGTGTTAATGAATATCAAGAACGCTAGAGCCAATCTTTAAACAATTTAATGATGCGATGAGCGGGAATAAATGTTTGAACCTGACAGTAAAAATGAAATTCAGTTTAAATGAATTGAAGTTTTATTTTTATTCAAGTGAAGAAATCCAGTAAAGAAGAGTCAAGTATTGAGATTAACTCATTCACCCCTTGAGACGCATTTGAATTCTTCCAGATCAACGGTTGGAATAGTTCATAATAAAAATGAAATTTCATTGATTAATGAGTTAAACAGGTGAGTATGCAAGCTGATCAACGAAGAGTGACCAGCTCTTAGTGATAAATAGTCTGAACTGGTACCACATAGTCTACGTATTGTAATGTGTTTCTCACTTTAAATTTTGACGTCAATTAACAGGTTTTTAAGCAAAATACAAATGTTCAGCTTGCGTATTTAAGTCTCATTGACGACTGGTTCTTGTTTCGATTCTATACAACTGTTGATAGAGTATGTAGAATACAATACTAGTAGGTCAAGGACGCGAAAACATTGTTGTGCGAGTTCGCTTAGAACCTTTTGAATCATGTATATTGTATCGTAGGTATATTGTATCGTTGGTATATGTAAATCTGTCACACCACTCCTGGCCAAGACTGACGTCAAACGAAAGATGGACAAACCAAGGACTTAGATATACACCGGGTACCTAGAGCACTCCTCCCGCTGGCCAAGGCTGACGTCAAAAAGCAGATTGACAAACCAGACTCATCTCAGTTCGTGAACAGACCAAACAGTAGGAACAAAATCCCACACACATTTGCAAGGATAGTTTTAGAATGGAAAAGGGCCAGCTCACATACCAACGCTATCTGTGTGCCGAAAAATAACTCACATTATGTGGAATGAGGGTAACAGGAAAGAATGGAGAAACGCAAGTTGTGTCGGTGGACTCGGGTTTGCATACAAATCGTGGTACGCTTCACACTAAATAAAGGATACGCATTATGCGCCCCGCCATAGTGGTACTGTGACTACAGCTAGTATTGTGATTCAGTCGTAAGAACGGAATAGCCTACTGATGGGAGCTAACAAAGCTTCCCGCCGATGTATACTCGACTTCGACATTGACTTTCCATCAACAACAATGCAGCCCTAAACAAGATTGGGCCTGAAGGGTCGATACCAGAGGTTTTTTTCGCGGCCTGTGTCCCGGGGGACGGGCGGGCGTACGAAGGATAACACCACAGAACACTATCCGTATCATTTATAGGACCGATGGTTACGAATCAGCGTCCAATCGAGATATTACTGGGAAAGGCACCGAGGTTTAATATAAACAAATAAGACATTTGAACGTATTATGTACATGATTCTGTAATCCTAGTAATTATTTATTAGTTCTCTGAAAAACAAGTTTATTTATTTGTGGTAGTTTATTGATGTCTAAGATCCTAGTGGAACTGGAGTCGATATTGA